TTTCCTCTCGGAGCACTTCGAAAAGAAACAAGGAGGCCCGAGATGTAAGTTTCTAAGATCTGGTGGCTGGCACCACTGGGAGATCATCGATAAATACCGTGAGTGCGCTAGGTGTTTAAGGTGCCTCACCTTTGCAAGCGAAGAAGCGTCCCGCCCGTTGCTCGGCTGTAAGGGTCCCAGTAAAACGTGGCGCGGAGTGCTGGATTTCACCAAGGGCCATGAGTTGGCCCAAGCACTTGTTGAGTTTAAGGGAGGCCAACGTAGCCTCTTTTTCTGTACGACCTGCGGGGCTTATACCTCGCAGAGATGTCGCAAGCTTGGCCAGGACTGTATAGGCCGTCGCCTCCCTGGAGCCAGATCGACGCTTTCGCGCATCAGAGCGGGACCGTACCCACAATACAGTGCCGAGGTTTCTCGTGTGGGTTCCTCCTCGAGACGAGGAGTGCATTATTTTTGCTACGCTGCTACCCTCCCCCCTCCTCCCGAAACGGCCCCTGTGTCGTGTGGAGTTGGCTTGGAGGGTTTAGTACAGACGCCTGGGATGCAAGCGATCCTCGCCCGCATTCAGGCCCGTGAAGCAGCTGCTCAGGCAGCTCAGCAGCAGTAAAGAGTGTGTCATCGGTCCCGCCTCACGGCTCGCAGACAAAAAAAGGGGGGTATCGAACTGGTTGTCCCGAGCTGGAACCATGTGTGTTGTTTTGTGTCCAGGCCACCCAGGAGAAGTATCGAACATGATTGCCCCGAGCTGAAACCATGTGTGTTTTTACGTGTCCAGGCCACCCTGAGGGGTGTCTGAAATAGTTGCCCCGAGCTGGGACAATGTTTTCTCACATGTCCAGGCCACCCAGGGGGGTATCTAACATGGTTGCCCAGAGCTGGATGCACATGTTGTAACGCGCCTAAGCCACCCGAGGGGGTATCGAGCAAGGTTGTCCCGAGCTGAAACCATGTGTCTTCACGTGTGAAAGAGCGCGTTCTGTGGTCGCTTGAAGGGGGGAGGAGTTGGAACCAGACCCCCCCCCCCTTAATGGAGGGGGGGGGATTCGAACAGCCCATCCCCTTCCCCGTGACGGAAAGGGGGGGGGCGACGAAGGGGGGGGTCGAACCCCCCCCTTCCTCCCCTACTTCCTTTCTCCCTCTCCAAATTGCGGTGGTGGTGGTAGTGGTGGTGGGTTTTTCTGGTAGTGGTGGTGATGGTGAGTTGTGGTGGTGGTGGTTGTGATGGTGGTGGTGGCTGTGGGTTGGGGTGGGGGTTGTGGTGGGTTGAGGCGATGGTGGTGGTAGTAGTGGTGGTGGTGGTGGTGGTAGTGGTGGTAATCGTCGGTGTGTCCCCGCCGGCGCCAGCGCCGGTGCCAGCGCCGGCGCTGCTGGCCGCCGCCAACGCCGGCGCCAGCGCCAGGGGGGGGGGTGAAACCCCCCGCCCCCCCCCCGCCATGGGCTGCCTCTCTCTGGTCGTTGTCGCTGCGTCCTCGCCGTCGGCGCTGCTGGCCGCCACCAGCGCCGGCGCCGGCGCCGGCGCCAGGGGGAATGGGGGAGGGGGGTTTAAAACCCACGTCCCCCCCCCCACCTTGGACTGCCTCTGGTCATCGTCGCTGCGTCCCCGTCTTCGGCGCTGCTGGCGGCCGCCGGCGCCGGCGCCGAGGGGGGGGGGGGTGGTTTTGACCCCCCCCCACTTGGGAGGGAGGGAGGGGGTGTTCGGGAGGGGGGGGGATTGGGGGTGAGGGGGGTCTCCCTGGTTGTGATCGACGGCGCCGAGTGTTGGGCGGGGGCCCACCCCCCAGTTCGAAACGCGCCGCCGAATGTTTCTGAGGCAAGCGCCCGTGAAACGCGCTCTCTCTCTCTCTCTCCTTCTCTCTCTCTCTCTCTCTCTTTCTCTCTTACGTGTCCAAGCCACCGAGGAGAGAATATCTAACATAGCTGTCCCGAGCTGGAACCATTGTTTTTCACGCGTCAAGGCCGCGCAGGGAGGTATCTAACATGGCGTCGGGTTCAGCACTGAATTTTCAGGAAACGCACGGGGGGGCGAAAGTCGCCACCCGAACACATACTTCAGTACAGACAAGTCAAATTGTTCTGTTCTGGACATGGGGTGGCGCTTTGGGGGCCTCGTCAGGGAAGGAATTGCGAAGACGTCTCGAGCGAGAGCGCGAACTTAACGTATCCAGGCCGCCCAGGTGGATATCTCACATGGTTTTCCCTATCTGGAAGCACGTGTCTAATCGTGTCCAGGCCCCCGATGGGCGCACGACCACATGTTACATCTCCGTCCTTGGGCGGCCTGGACACTTGAAACACTCGTGGGTTCTTCACGCCTCAGAACGAGACACGCGTGAAAACACGTGGGTTCTTAACGCTCCCGAGCGGTACACAAGCGTGAAAACACACGGGTTCTTAACACCACCGAGTTGGACAAGCGTGAAAACACGTTGGTTGTTCATTCCACAGAGCGGGACAAGCGCGAAAACATGTGGGTGCCTAACGCCACAGGGCGGGACAAGTGTGAAAACACGTGGGTTCCTAACGCCTCCGAGCGAAACAAAAGTGAACATACATAGGTTCCTAACGCCCCAGACAAACGTGGAAACACTTGGGTCCTTGACGCCCCCGAGCGGGACACACGTAAAAATACGGGCGCCGAGGGGCGTGCATCTAACGTGTGTTTGGTGTGTATGCGTTTGCCAAGTGTTTTCAGCTGTCTGGGCCACCTTGGGAGGACATCCAACACGTGACCGTCGGACCGCCCCCCTCCACACATGTAAAAACGCACGCGCGGAAGGGATATGCAATCGTCCCTCTGACGACTGTGTACTGGTGTTCACGTGTCTGGGTCGCCCAGGCGGATGTCTAACATGAGGACGTACTGAGGATGCCTTGAGCGAAACCCGGGTATTCATGTGCCCAGGTCGCCTAGGCAGGTCTCGAACACGAGATCGTCGGGCTCTTCCCACGTAGAAATAAGTGCGCGGAGGGATGTGTCTAGATTCGAATAGGATCGGTTCGGTCTTCATCTCGGTTCGTATCGTTTCGATTCGTGTTGGCGCAGTCCGTCGCGTCTCGATTCGCCGCGTTCCGGTCCGTTCATGATTGGTGCGTTTCGTGTCAGTTCGGATCCGCTCCCGTTTGATCTGCCTCGCTTGGGAACTGGATCGGATTTTGAGCTCGAGCTGGTTTAGCGCCCCGCGCGTTTCGACAGCAACCAGCTCGAGCTGTGCGTTCAGACAGCTCGAGCTGAAGATCTAGATCGGTTCGGTCAGGATCATGACGTCAAGAACGGCGTAATCCACAATACAATAGTGCACAACACATTTCAACGCGGCATGACACATTTCAAATCAGCACAACATGACACAGCAAGGCACAGCCCGTGGCACGGTATATCATCATCGTGACCTTGAGCATTGCAATTGCCCGCCGCCTGAGTTTGGTGTCTTGGAAGCGCGTCCATGTTTTACACTTCAAAATCCCTTTTCCGGGTTCGTGGGTCGATCATGTTGTTTGCAGGGGATGGTGGGGGTGCGCTGGTTTGCGCGCAGCGAGCAATATGCCGGCACCCCAGCCGCCCCTGTCAAAAGCACATGCAAAGTGGTCGCGGGGCGCCCGCGCATGCTCCAGATTTGGAGGCGATGTGTATTTCGCACTGTTCCCAACCATCCTCCGGTGTTGGGTCCTCGGTTTGAAAGACAGCGCCCCGCGTCTCTTTCTTTACTTCCCTCCCGCTCCTCCCCCTCCTTCCCCTCCATACCCTTGTTGTCCGCATCAGTCAACCAGTTCCGTGACCCCACAGGGAGCTCCACCGAAGGCCCTAGTGGCAGGGTCCACATGTACCTCCCCCACCCATTACAGCGATTGGTGGCCCCATATGGGGCTCCTCCGAAGGCCCGAGTGGGAGGGTCCATATGCGTCTCCCCGCCCCATTTCGGCACGTCACAACCCTCTCACGTTTCGTAGCCCCATGGGGTGAGAGGGTCCACATGAGTCTCCATGACCCATGTCGGCACACCCCTCACACGCTTCGCGGCTCCACAGGAAGCTCCACCGAAGGCCCCAGTGGGAGGGCCCACATGCGTCTCCGCGCCCCATTTCAGCACCTCTCACGTGGCCACATGGGGAGCTCCACCGAAGGCCCCAGTGGGAGGGTCCACATGCGTCTCCACGCCCCATTTCGGCACACCCCTCACGCGTTCCGTGCCCCGAGAGGGAACTCCACTGAAGGCCCCAGTGGGAGAGTCCACATGCGTCTCTCCCACCCATTACAGCGCTTCGCAGCCCCATACGGAACTCCACTGAAGGCTCCAATGGCCGCGGCCGCATGTGTCTCCCCCATCCATTACAACGCCTCGTAGCTCCATGAAGAGCTCCACCGAAGGCCCCACTGGCCGCGGCCGCGCGTCCCCCCCACCCAGTACAGTGTTCCGTGGCCCCACAGGGAGCTCCACTGAAGGCTCCAGTGGCCGTGGCCGCGTGCACCGCAGGCTTCCTTGGCGACGACGCAGGGCCCATTTTGGCGCACCACTCACGCGTTCCGGGGCCCCATAGGGAGCTCCACCTCAGGCCCCAATGGCACAGTTCGCATGCGCTCTACACCATCACCATTACGGTACACCCCTCACGCGCTTCGTGGCCCCAGAGGGAGTTCCACCGAAAGCGGTAACCACAATGATGTATTCACAATTGCATGTGGTTGGGTCCTTCGCCGGGATAGTTTGACAGGGATGGTGGGGGGGCAGCATGGGTGCCCTCATGGGTCAGGGTTTGTTGCTGGTGGGGGGTGGGTATTAGTGGGGAAAGGTGATCAACCCTTCCCCGAAGGAGTAGAAGGGGTGTTGGCAGAGAGAAGGCAAATATCGTTAGACCACCTACGCCCAGAGAGCGGGTGGGATTAGAACATGCAGGGTGCGTTGCGAAGAGGAAGGGGTTGCAATTAGAAGTGTTCAATAGAAGCGCTACAAGGCAGCATTTCACATGCTACCAAGCCCACCGTGTCCATGGACACGGTAGAGGATTATCGCAGCCAGTTCGAGACGAAGACTTCCAACGGCGCCTTGGACGATCAGAACGTCACGAGGCAGGGTTGGGAACGGTCGCTATTCGGCGGCGCCTACGAAAAAGCCAAGCCTTTCGAGCGCTGCAAATACGGCGCTCTCAACGTCATGAACGATTACCGTGGGGTTAAGTCTGCCGAGCAGTACGGCGATTCCTACCTCGTGCTCAAGGACGTACGTCTGAGGACAACCCTCACGTTCACTGATTCCTCAGGCGTCAACATCGAACACCTGGGGCTGCTAGACAAGTACGCCCACGTGCTGCAGAGGTACAGCGACGGTGAGCTGAAATCTCTTGTGAAGGTCGCAACCGCAGCTGTGACCAGCCAGAAGAACCTCGGGCGCTCACAAGGAGATGCCCCGCTGGAGCTCATTTCTGGGACCACCCACGACTGCTCCAAGGAGTGGGTCACCCTCGGCTTCCCCAGGCTGCAACAGAGCTCTGGCAGGTTGTACTTTGAAGCGCACCTGACAAAAGGATGTGTTGCAGCCCAAGTGGGACTCCTATCGGCCGACTACAAGGCTATGCCCTACGTGGCGAGCGCTTCAGGCGTGGGCGACGACAAGTTTGGCTGGTCATGCGACGGCCTGAACTCTTCGTTGTGGCACGGAGGGGCCGAGAGGGCTTGGGAAGCCCATTGGTCTTCAAAGAAGCAAGTGGGGGGAGAGATGTGCTTGGCCGAAGACGTTGTTGTTGGCGTTGCTTTAGACCTGGCTAAACGGACCATCTTGCTTTGTACGAACGGCAAGTGGGACGAGGCACCCGCATTCACTTCGGAGCACATCTCTGAAGGCATGAAGCTCTACCCAGCGATGTCCGTCAAAGGCGAAGCCTCGTTCTGCTTCGGCGACTTCAAGTAGCTTGTGGTCTTCGGCCCTCCCCGCCGCCGTCCCTGGATTCTGGGCCAGATATGTCTTGGATGCCTCTCGGGGTCTCTGGGGATTCCTTTGGGGGCCTTGTTGGAAGCCCCGTCCAGGCATCTTGGAAACCTTCTTGGAGCCTGCGTGGTCTTTTTGGAGCCGCTGGGGGGCTCGTTGGAGTCTCTAAGGGCCTCTTGGGGTCGCGAGGCAGCCCCTTGAGAGTCTCGAGAGCTGCCTTGGCACAAGAGGTCTACAAGGGCCATGTTCGGGTGTCCCCGTCGGGAGCCAGAAACAGCTGGAAGACCTACAGTGGTGAATTACTTGAGATTCGGGGAGGGATGTGCGGGCAACCCCAGAGTTGCCCAGGACAGCCTGGAAGTCGGGGGCATTGAGGCATTTACAACGCTCAATTGTGAGAATTCGGGAAGACATGAGCATTTTCCTCTCAGTGCCTACGGCACTGTGGCGGATCCAGCCCCTACAGAATTCCAGACGTGGCCAGGTATGCCGAGTTGGCCTATTCGTGCGGACACCCCGTTCATCGGCGATTCTACAACTTGCTCGATTTACAAAGAGATCCAGGTGCACGGCGAGGTGCATCTGAAGCGTAACGTGCAGCGCTTGGTGGCCAGCAGCAAGTACCGCGAACGATCCAAGGTGAAACGGTCATACAATCTGCTCGTCTCGAATGCAGGTGGTTACGACGGAACGTTCATGCGCATGGGCGCCCATGAGGGTCGTGCCTTGTACAAGAGCGAAGATGGCGCTGTGATATACTGGGATCCTGCGGCCGAGCTCTGGAAAATGAACGGTACCGAGGACTTCTCCGCGTTCGTCAGCTCGGCCCCAGCAGATTCTACAGGCGGTCCCCCACGTCGCGGATGGGAGGTGAGGTTCGAGATGCGCGGTGTCGTCGACGAGGAGTGTTTCAGATTGGCAATGTCGGAACTCGAGCTGAGCGCCACAGACATCGACGCTCTCGTGAAGGCGCTCGCACAAGGGGAAGGTAAAATATACCGAGAGACCGAGAACACAACATTCCAGAAGGAGTGGAAGAAGCTTGGCAAAACGTCTTGTGACCCTGAAGCGGCGTGGAAGAAAGTAGTGAAAAAGGTGCAAGCCAGGCTCCTGGAGGCTGAAGGTTTTGACGGCCGCTGCCAAGTGTGCGAATCAGAGCACCCGTACCCTGCCAAAAACTTCTCTTGGAAAAAGAAAATAGAGATGGAAGACTGTGGAGCCATGCAGCTCGCTTTATCGCCAAACTGCCAGACGTACGACAGCTGCGCGGTATTCAGCGTCACTTGCGGCGGCATGGACCGGAAAGCCGCCGGCCCAGGCTCGCGCGTGGAGATGCCCATAAATGGGAAGGCGGTATGTGGCACCGTCTTGGAGCGCTCGGGGGGGGGACAAAATTGGAAGGTGCGCTTGGATCGCCGCGCCGACATGATCGCAGGCGCGGCGGCCCAGAGCAAGGAGCTGGAGGTTCCCAGGTGCCCCCACGAGGAGTGCCTTATGCGGTTCGTGAAGCCCTCTTACGCCAGCTACGGCTGCGACATTTGCGGTGGGGGAGGCAGCGGGGAGCGCTGGCATTGTCCACTGCACCACTCCGACTCCTGCTTGAGCTGCCATGGGCCCCCTCTGGGGACGAGCCGCTACAGCGAGCAGTACTACTGCACTGTGGTTCGTGCAGAGCGCAAGGGCGACTCGAGCGTCTCCGTCATGTACGACGCGCACGGCGACATGTCAGAAGGGCAGCTGGCGGACCCCTCAGCCTCGAGGGTGTTTTGGGACTCCGGCAGTGGCGAGGCGCGGGCCACCACGTGTTTCGAGATCAAGGCGGACCGCGAGTCGCACTGCTGCGGGACCCTCGTATCTGGCGGGCTTCGCCCTCTGCCGCCGGCCCTTCTCCTCTGATTTTGCCTGCACGGCTGAGTCGGATGGATTAGTCAGTTGCCTGGCGAATTGGTCGGACGATTGGCAGTTCGGCTAGTTGGCTGGCTGTCTAGATGGATGTGGATGGCTGGCAGCTTGATTGATCACCGAGCGCATTCCACTACTCACAAAGTGCCTGCTCGCAAACGTCATAAAAAACGCACGTCTGCCTCGATGTAGTGTATCGCGAAACCTCCACGGCAGATCCAGACCAATTGCGAGTACTTGCGAGTAGTGTAAAGCGCTTGTCTAAAGTAGCTGGTTGGCGGGCTAGCGGTCTGTCTGATTGGATGCAGAGCTTGCTGGTTCGTTGGCGGGCTCGTTGACAAGGGAAAAAGGTCAAAGGATAGGACGGATCCAGGAAAGAGTTGTGCGAGGGATCGTGGCTGCTCGCGCGCAGAGTCATGGCAGTTTGCGAGGGATCGAGCGCGGACCCATCGTTTTTACTCGTGCTCGTGGCTTGGAAGCGCAGATCTGCCATTTCTTACGAAGGAGCGTGGCCTCAGGGGCGCTGGCAGTGCCTACACACACCAGAGGAGGAGAGGGCGAGAAGTGCCCATTGCCTCTTCGAACTGCGAGGAAGTCACGACGGGAGGTTCTCAGCCATGTTCGACCGCTGGGAGGCCAATCAGGGCCCGGGGCAATCCAGAAACGGCCCAGGATGAAGGCTGTTTTAGGGAGGGCGTCATCATTTCAGGGGCCCACTTCGTAAAACATCAGGACGCGGGGGTATGGAGGGGAAGGAGGGGGGTCGATATTCGAGGATACGGGAAGCTTTCGGGGGGGGGCCTCCAGAGCCCTCTGGATTCTCCGGGGACCTCTGCACATGGGGAACGCGAGCGACCTCGGGAGATCCTCGGAGACCTCCGGAGGGAGGAGGAGTAGGAGGAGGAGGAGGAGGACGGAGGAGGAGGGAGGAGGAGGAGCAGGGAGGAGGAGGAGGAGGAGGAGGAGGAGGAGGAGGAGGAGAAGAGAGAGAGGAGGAGGAGGAGGAGGAGGAGGAGGCTGGAGGAGGACGACCAGGGAGAAGAGGAGGAGGAGGAGGAGAAGGAGGAGGAGGAGAAGGAGAGGAGGAGAAGGAGGGAGGAGCGAGGAGGGAGGCGGAGGACTAGGACGGTGGCCTGCCTCCGAAAAATCCAGAGACCTCCAGAGGAAGGGTCAGAGGAGGAGGAGGAGGAGGAGGAGGAGGAGGAGGAGGAGGAGGAGGAGGAGGAGGAGGAGGAGGAGGAGGAGGAGAGGAGGGGGGAGGAGGGGGAGGAGGAGGAGGAGGAGGAGGAAGGAGGAGGAGGAGGAGAAGACGGCCAACTCTGGAGGGAAGCGGCCGCGTGCTCCAGAGGGGCGAGTAGCCCAGCAGGTTTGCTGCCGATGCGTGGTCGGACGAGGACCTGACCCCAAAGCCCGGGGGTCCCCCTGTGCGACTGGGGTGGGGACCCATTCGGGCGCCCCCAGGCCGAGGAGGAGGAGGAGGAGGAGGAGGAGGCAGAAGGCAGAAGGCAGAAGGCAGAAGGCAGAAGTGGAGGAGGAGGAGGAGGAGACGCAGCAGGGGCAGGAGCACGGCCCGTGGGAAAAAGTGGAGGGAAGAGGACGGGAGAGAGGAGGAGGAGCAGGAGGATTTTTTTTAGCATCAACAACCACAACGCCAGTGAGCTGGCGGACTCCGATGAGCAAGCTCAACGCCACGCAGCACAGCCAGGAGGCTGAGACTGCAGGGGCAGCGCCACTGTCGGGGCCATGCCCCCGTGGCGCGCCCCGAGCGCGACCAGGGAACGCAAGGAGACCGTGCTCCGCGCTCCCTGATCGGGGTAGGGGGCGCCGGAGCCGTGCACCGACGCCACCCTACCCACCACCTACTCCATAGGTGGCCGCGGTTTCGGACCCCGGGGCCCCCAGGACCGAACCAAAAAAGGGACCACGACACGACGCGACACGACGGGGGGACGAAACGGACGACACGACACGAACGATACGACACGGACGAACGACACGACAGAGACGAGCTGCCGGTCCCGCCCCAAGGCGGCGAGCGCTGGGGGGAACCAGCACCGCCCTGGGGGAGGCCACGGGACCTGGCGACCCCCCCGGGGGAAGGAAACCGCACTTTGGCGGCGTCCCCCGGGGTGCGGGGGCTTTTCGCCCCTCGGGCCCGGCGCTCCCCACCTGCGCCAGGGGGACCCTAGGGTCCCGACCCCTCCCCTACGGGAGGGGCCCCCTCGGGGCATGGAGCAGGAGGAGCAGGAGGAGCAGGAGGAGCAGGAGGATGAGGAGGAGGAGGAGAGATGACGAGGCATGCGGATTGGGGGGAATTGCTTTCGGTGAACTCTTGATGTTTCCGGGCACCCTTGCGAAGAGGAGGGGAGGGGAGAGAGAGAGAGAGAGAGAGAGAGAGAGAGAGAAGAGAGAGAGGAGAGAAGGAGGGAGGGAGAGAGAGAGAGAGAGAGAGAGAAGGAGGAGGAGGAGGAGGAGGAGGAGGAGGAGGAGGAGGGAGGAGGAGGAGGAGGAGGAGGAGGAGGAGGAGGAGGAGGAGGAGGAGAGAGGAGGAGGAGGCGGAGGAGGAGGAGGAGGAGCAGGAGGAGGAGGAGGAGGAGGAGGGAGGAGGAGGGGGAGGGGGAAGGGGGAGGGGGAGGGGGAGGAGGGCGGAGGAGGCGGAGGGGAGGAGGAGGAGGATAGGAGGAGGTGGAGGAGGAGGAGGAGGAGGAGGAGGAGGAGGAGGAGGATAGATGTGGTGGGTGGCAATTGGTGCCTGGAATGGTAGGTGGTGGCACGAATGCCTTGAGATGGAGGTACGGGTCACCCCCCCCTACGGCCGTCTTCGTTGGCCGAGGGACCGTAGGGGGGTCCTCGGCCCCCTCCGGTGCCTATTGACGGCAAAATGGAAGCTTGACTGGTGGGAGCGGGAACCCTCGCAACCCCATTGATGGAAGCTGCGAGGGGTGTGAGGCCTAATGACGGTCCTCACCGACGAGGCCTATTGACGGTCCTCGCCGAAGGGAGGGGCGAGAGGGAGGGGGGCCACTCCGAGTGTCGATGCCGTCCGCGATGCCCGCGATGCCTCTCACTCCTGAGGCGGGATTCCTGCAAATGGGGGCCCACAAACCAGCATACACAGTTTCGACTCCTAGACTGTGTATACGCCACACACCCCGGAACCTCCAGGACAATTTTTTTCACTACATCGACGGACCAGTTTCCGGTCGGTCCCCCGGCGTTGCGTTTCAGCATCCGTCGGTGGCAAGCCCAGATCCAACCGCCAACTCGATCGATCGGCGTACCCCCTTGAATTCCCGAGGCAACGGCGTACCCCCTTGAATTCCCGATGCAACGGCGTACCCCCTTGAATTCCCGATGCAACGGGAAAGGCCTGAGCGGGCAGCGGCAGAAAACAACCTAGGGGGGGAGGGGGGCGCAGGGAGGAGGAGGGGGAGGAGAGCGGCGGTACGGGCGCCCAGGCATCTGTTTTGACGGGGGGCACCCCGCTAATAGGTCACACCGCAAAAACAAGCCTGCGCTCCGCACACGGAACGACAGGGGCAGGGGGGGGAAGGAGGAGGGAGGAGGGGGAAAAAGGGGCCAGAGCGGGGACGGGGAAGAGAGGGGTGGGGGGGACAGAGACTGAAGTCAAACGTAGATTTGTGGCCCAAAGGGATCCTGGAGGTAGGTCTTCTCGATTGGTTGGCGGGGAGTGGGCACGACCGCACGAGTGCCACTACAGCACGGGTCGAACCATCACCCTAGGTGGGCGGGGAGAGGGACACGACCGCATGAGTGCCACTACAGCACGGGTCGAACCGTCACCCTTGGTGCACTGCTGGGGTGGCCCAAGTGCCAAAATGTAAAGGCTGACTGACATTGACAGGCACAATCAGCCGGCAGGGGAATAAATCCCGTTCACGGCCCAAAGGAGGATAGATGTGGGGGTGGCAATTGGTGCCTGGAATGGTAGGTGGTGGCACGAATGCCTTGAGATGGAGGTACGGGTCACCCCCCCCTACGGCCGTCTTCGTTGGCCGAGGGACCGTAGGGGGGTCCTCGGCCCCCTCCGGTGCCTATTGACGGCAAAATGGAAGCTTGACTGGTGGGAGCGGGAACCCTCGCAACCCCATTGATGGAAGCTGCGAGGGGTGTGAGGCCTAATGACGGTCCTCACCGACGAGGCCTATTGACGGTCCTCGCCGAAGGGAGGGGCGAGAGGGAGGGGGGCCACTCCGAGTGTCGATGCCGTCCGCGATGCCCGCGATGCCTCTCACTCCTGAGGCGGGATTCCTGCAAATGGGGGCCCACAAACCAGCATACACAGTTTCGACTCCGAGACTGTGTATACGCCACACACCCCGGAACCTCCAGGACAATTTTTGTTCACTACATCGACGGACCAGTTTCCGGTCGGTCCCCCGGCGTTGCGTTTCAGCATCCGTCGGTGGCAAACCCAGATCCAACCGCCAACTCGATCGATCGGCGTACCCCCTTGAATTCCCGAGGCAACGGCGTACCCCCTTGAATTCCCGATGCAACGGCGTACCCCCTTGAATTCCCGATGCAACGGGAAAGGCCTGAGCGGGCAGCGGCAGAAAACAACCTAGGGGGGGAGGGGGGCGCAGGGAGGAGGAGGGGGAGGAGAGCGGCGGTACGGGCGCCCAGGCATCTGTTTTGACGGGGGGCACCCCGCTAATAGGTCACACCGCAAAAACAAGCCTGCGCTCCGCACACGGAACGACAGGGGCAGGGGGGGGAAGGAGGAGGGAGGAGGGGGAAAAAGGGGCCAGAGCGGGGACGGGGAAGAGAGGGGTGGGGGGGACAGAGACTGAAGTCAAACGTAGATTTGTGGCCCCAATGGATCCTGGAGGTAGGTCTTCTCGATTGGTTGGCGGGGAGTGGGCACGACCGCATGAGTGCCACTACAGCACGGGTCGAGTCATCACCCTAGGTGGGCGGGGAGAGGGGCAC